CTCTCTCTCTCTCTCTCTCTCTCTCTCTCGATCCCTGCCTCATGCTTATCGTTCTAGAATAACTGAACAGTTCCCTTAAAAGTAACAAAACAGATGTGGACTCAGAAGAGGAGGGGTATTTGTCCATACAACCAGACGGGATAATATCTGTCCCCGTGGTTTTATGCACCCCGCATAATTGTGCAAAATTTGATCTTTTTTTGTGCATAATTTCTGATTATTTTCCTTCATCCTTCTTTGTTAAAATTAGCAGAATCGCATAATTTCACATTGTTGGGGCTCAGTTTGCATAATTTCATTTTTTTTTTTCCATACAACCACGGGGACAGTAATGTGGTCGCTTTTAAGGACAAGCGGACTAACACATATCTCAGGGGCTTCCAGAAGTCTTGACCTACACCAAAAGTGGGCATTGCCCTACCTGTAGGAGAAGTTTGGTTTCATTGGTGTGCATAATAATCTGTTTGCTATCGAGAAAACACTCCTTGTCTTTTAAAGAAACTGAGAAAAGGGCAAAAACGTCTTCAATTTTTCTCAAAACAACTTTTTTTGGGGATAGTCCCCTCATGCTTAAAAGCGACCATATGTGATCTTGTGTCGAGGCTCTCAACAGCCTGTTTTACCATCATCTTTAAAAAAAACACACAAAAAACAGACAAACAAAAAAAGGAAGAAAAAAAAACCCTACGATCCCCCCCCCAAAAAAAAACAACAACAACAACAAACAAACAACAAAACAACAACAAAACAAACAAACAAACAAACAAAACCGGTTACACCTCGACTGTCCTGACTCCGTGTGAACCCCCTAGTCACCGAAGTGCGGAATGGCATATCCAACCCCCCGCCCCTCCCCAGAAGTCACCCTCTCATTCTTTTTCTCAGAAATTATCTACCGGTATACATGTACTACCGATACTCCATTGCATCAAACAACGTCACAACAAGAAAGCACGAAACAGGAGGGGTTAAAAACCCAACTTATTATAACAAGTCGCATTTTTCTTTACAATAACAGTATTTTATTTACAAAGGTAAAGGGGAGAAAAAAACGGGGTTTTAGAATTGTGTCTTTATTATAACAGACTTCTCGTTATAAGTGGACTCCACTGTATTCGGTTTTGGTGGAGACACGCTCTAACTCTAACATACCACATACATGTATTTAAAAAAGGTAAGAACTATACATTATACATGTACCAAATTAAATGACTTTACGCTTGTATGTATAAACACAAAAATTGAAAACAACACATCAGAA